TCCCAAAGGCGCGGGATTACAGGCTGAGCCACCGAGCCCGGCTAAAAAAAATTTTTTTAAACGTTTAACTGTATATAAATATCTACATAAAACAAAGGATCAACATCCAGAATATAAACAACTCCTATGAACCAACTGAACATTTTAAAAATGGGCACAGACAGGCAGCTGACAGAAGACAGGTGTTCAACCTCACTAATGATTAGCAATGTAAAATAAAACAAAACAAATAGCACCTACCTCCCAGGCTGTTGGAGTTAACAATATATGGTACAATGTGAGTGCTGATGGAGTGTGGGACAGTGGGCCCTCTCGCATGCTGCCTGCCATGTGCTGCGCGCCTTCCCAGCGTTCACTTAGTTAGTCCTCATAGTGACTTTCACTTGGCTAGAAAGCAGTTTTTGTCACACACTCCATGTATATATATGCAGGTATCATATATATATAAAATTATTATTATTTTTTGAGTTGAGGTCTCACTGTGTCACCGAAGCTAGAATACAATGGCATGATTACAGCTCACTGCAGACTTGACCTCCTGGGCTTAGGCAGTCCTCTCACCTCAGCCCAAGTAGCTAGGACTACAGGCATGCGCCATGACGCCTGGCTAATTTTTTTTTTGTAGAGACAGGGTCTCACTATGTTGCCCAGGCTGGTTTCAAAGTCTTGGACTCAAGCAATCCTCTCACCTCAGCCTCCCAAAGTGCTGGGATTACAGGTGTAAGTCACTGCACCAGCTCTTATTTTCTTCTAATACTTACATAGTCTTGTGCTTTTATATTTAGATCTTTAACCTTGCCACTTGTCTTTGTGTGTGGGATGAGGTAAGCTTTAACTTTATTTTTTTCCAATGGATAGACGTCTCACGCGAACTAAGTTAGAATATGCTCATCTGTCCAGGATTAAGCACTTTCAGCCCCAACAAATTCTACTCCCTTGCTTCCAGTGGCCAGACTGGAGCTTTTCCTGGGTCTTCTGACCTTGGTTTCCCACCCTGCAGCGTGGATGCTGACCAGGGCAGGGGCCTGGGGAGCTGGTCAGTGTGCCCTTCCCAGGCAGCCTGGGATAGGAGGGGGGCAACTCAGCTGGCCAGCAGGTCCCACAGGTCACTGTCGCGAGGCAGCAGGTCACATGCTAACCGCGCTTTCCGATCCCGGACGGCCTTCAGCGCTGGGCTGTGTTGCAACAGGAGGGAGCAAGTGTCCACGTGACCCTTCTCGGCAGCCTGTGGAGAGACAGTCCAAGTCAAAAGTCATGCCCCCACTGCACGCTGCTCTTTTTTTGCTCCAATTCCAAGGGCCTCTTACTCCTAAAAGAGAGATTTCATGGCCCTCTTTCTGGCAGTTAGCCTGAGCCCAGGATCAAGGCTGCCATGAGCTGAGATCATGCCACTGCACCCTAGCCTGTACATGAGAGTGAGACCCTGACTCAAAAAATAAAATAAAAACAAAACAAAACAAAAACACAACCAAGTACAGAACCCAGAATTTTCTTTTCTATTTTTTTTTTTTTTTGAGTTAGAGTCTCACTCTGTCGCCCAGACTGGAGTGCAGTAGCCGCTCTG